ACACTTTTGTCAAAAATGTCAAATGAAAAAGTTAGGAGAGGGTGGCATTTATAAAAGATCACCCTGTACTTGTACTACTTGTAAAATAACTGTATAAGTACCTACCTACCAACTTACTCGATTTCAGGTATATTCATTAGCTGTGGTCCAACCGACATGGGAACCGTTTTAGAACCAGTAATTTCCAATTGCGCACTTGATTTTCAATAAGTTGAACGTTTATCCTACTTGACAAATGAATTGATCGACTGGAAATTACCGTTCTAGAACGGTTCTCATGTCGGTTGGAACAGAGCTTTTATCAACTCTTAAATTTCCTAGAGAAACCTCAAAGCATGTTGTGTTTTAAAGGTAGGGCATCATCATTTGAAAAATAGGGCATTGCCCCCCAATGCCCCCCCTGGGGCCTTATTCTGTAAGGAACAACCGTTCGATTCGGTAGAATTTCTTCGATTGTGACGTCGTTTTCGGTTTAGTTTTCGCTCGTTTTCGCGCTACCAAACCTAAAATGACGTCACAATCGAAAAAATTCTACCGAATCGAACGCTTCGTTCCTTACAGAATAAGGCCCCTGGCTACGGCCCTGCAGCTCGCTAACAATTTTTGTTTTCTTCTTTTGGCAACTATGTTCGCGCACCGCAATATGGCGTCTAAACAAAAGGTCAATTCGTTGTTGGTAAAGCTGGCGAACATTTAGGCTTTTTTCACACACACTTTCAAGTGGCACGTACCTAGTACGACCGTTATGCGGCCGTGTGTTGGGAATTTGTGGTTTCTTTCTTATTGAGCGACACACGGCCGTGCTACTGTACCGCCTCGGTGCGGGCTCAGTGCGGATACGATGCGGTCATGTGTGTCCAGACCTAGGATGATTCACAGTACAACGTTACGGGCCCGAGCCGGGCACGTTCCGCGGAGTGGACACCGAGCCTCGTCTGAGCGTTCTGTATATGTTACACCGCGTTGTAAACGAGGATCGCGTCCGTGTCGAAGATACTACAACACGGTCCCTCCCAGTTGAGTATACAACATACAGCACTGCTCGTGCACAGAAGAGTGTTCATGCTTGTCGCAACGTACCGGGAACGTGGCGGATCCGAAGAAATAATGTACCAGAGCATTTCTGTGACTTGGCACGGACGAGCCCGACGAAGGCTCGGAGCGTGCTCGGTCTAGCATAAATGCATATTTGCAAAGTTACCTGACAACAGGAGCGGATGGGCAACTTTCAATCGGCCCGGGACGGTTTTTGCTCAAGCGGCCCCGCGCGCTCACAGGAGGTGAATAACACTGGATAGGGTATTGAATAGTCTCCTTTTTTAGAAATAAAAACCTCCTTATATTACTCAAAAATACGAACGCGTAGAGCCATGCTGATAGGTATTGTAAAATATTTTCATGTTATTCTAGTTTACACTTTTTCTGTTTAATCAAACATTACTAAATTTAAGTACCGCAATTTGGGTTAGTTCGCAATTTTATTCAGACATTACAGGTCTATGTTTATTTTTCGAAAAAAAAATTGCGATTTTTTTTTCCGAATGCTTTCATTTCAAAAATCAACCATTTGGAACATATTGACTTTGAATAACTTCTTTCGAAAATGAATAATTTTGAAGCATGTCCAAACTAACCGGGTTGCATCTAAACATTCTGGTATAGTATTCGGCACCTAGGCATATTTCATTGGTCCGTTCGAATTCGGGCCGCCAATGAATGCAAAGTGCCGAAATCCGTACTTGAATGTTGAACGGTGCTGAACTTCAGGTCGGAATGGTATATAGTATATACCTCTACGTACTATGTAGAGTGCCGAATCTAAGGTCAAAATGTTAAACAGTGCCCAGCTGCAGGTTGGAATGTTACTCCGTTAGCGCGGCACAAAATCAACAAACAAACTTTATTTTGTTTTGTTTTTGTCAGATACTAATACCTACTAATTACTAAAACAGGTATAATTTTTTTACACTGTTAGAAATAGACGTATTATACCTTATACCATTAGAATAAGCATAAACAGAGGTATCCAATGAGCTATTAATATATACTGTGGACCAAATTTATCTGGAACCCAATTTGGCTCTGAATATATTTTTTTCAATTCAGCGGATTTTTATGAAATCTTGTGTTAATATCAGGGGGGCCTTTCCTCAATTGTAGAAAAAATATCTAATCAAAATATACAGAGGGAGCCAAGTAAGAAGCACTATTTCTAATCATTGCCTTTTTGGCCGTTGCATAATTAAATTTTTTATTCTAAAACTGCTGGTATAATTATTCTTCGCTGACTTCACATTCGTATATGTTATATCACTATACTCTTCTATCCATTGCTTTATATCGTTTTCCTTCAAAATGTTGGCTTGGTGAATTTGTTCACCACATTGGAAGTGTTTAAATGATCTAGGCAAACTCATCTCGCACAAGAACACATGAAGCAACGACCAAATAGACCGCATCCGCCGCAAAATTGTAGCTAAGAGGAACACGAAGGGGGTGGACAGCTGATTTAATATAAAAATCACGTCAAACGCATTACAACATTCTGACCTGATGCTCAGCACTGTTTAACATTTTGACCTTAGATTCGGCACTCCACATGGCTGTTGCTAATGGACCATTCTGACCTGAGACTCAGCACCGTTCAACATTCAAGTACGGATTTCGGCACTCCGCATCCATTGCTGGTCCGAATTCAAACGGACCAATGAAATATGCCTAGGTGCCGAATCCGATACCAGAATGTTTAGATGCAACCGGGTTATTATTGGTAATGTCTGATTGAAATAGCAAACTAAACCCCAAACTAACCAGGAACATCGGTAAGTTTAAAAATGTCTTATTAAAATTGAAAACTAACCCAAACTAACCGGGTTATTCTCGGTAGGTTTGAGTTTGGTAATGTTTGATAACAATATATTTCAAACTAACACAAATTTTGAAAACAAAATGGTTATGTTCGATTGAAATTGCAAACTTACCCAAACTAATCGGTTTATTATCGGTAAGTTTGGTAATTTCTGATTGAAAGTGCAAACTAATCCGGATTATTATCAGTAAGTTTTAATGTTTGATTACAATTGCAAACTAACCCAAACTAACCGGGTTAGTATTAGTAAGTTTGAAAACATCTTATTGAAATTGCAAACAAACCGGGTTATTATCGGTAATGTCTGATTACAATTGCAAACTAACAAAAACTAACCGAGTTATTATTGGTAACTTTGATTATGTCTGACAAAAATTTCGAACTTGGCGGGTTATTATAGGTAAGTTTGGTAGTGTCCTCGGTAATGTCTGATTGAACAGAAAAAGTGGAAGTTTACAGAGAAAGTATAAATTTACAGAAAAAGGGTAAATTTACAGAAAAAGTCTAAATTTTAATGAAAATATTTTCCAATATTAGATGGCAGCTCAACGCCTTGTGAAAACGACAAAAAACGTTGACTGCTTTCTGTTGAATTGGCAGAGTGGTGTCGCATTACGCCTTAAGTGATTTTTTTGCTATCAAGTTGCGGCGTATTGTTTGTAATCGTATTTTTTTTCCTTAACCGGCCCACTTGGCTCTCCGGCCCACCAGGAATCGTCCCGGTGTCCCGCCTGAGCCCATCCGCCCCTGCCTGACAATGTTTGCCCGTGGCTTCACCGACGCACGGCTCGGGCCCGTCACGGTGTACCATGAATCATCCTTTATACGTAAAGTATTAAGTTTGTTCTTTGTCCAATTACACGTCACAAAGAAAGAAAGAACGATTGATTCTGAACTGGTCCCTGAATAAGAATATGATGCAAGCTTGTAACAAACTCGCTTCTCATCTCATTGGACGCTCACCTGCAACCTACGAGTTGCGCGCGCAGTCCAGGTAAAGTCTTTATTAGGCAATTCAATCCATCTGTCAAAAAGGAAAATTCAATGTGGCGTGGCGGCCAAGCATGTTTGTTTTGAATATGTTTTTATGAGTATTTTAAATTATTTTGCATACAGTTTTGCTTACAACTTTGATTTTCATTATTTAATAAAATATTTGTTGACTAGGTATTTAAACTATTAATTCGGGCAGAAACTAAAGTGCATTTTTTTTTTTTAAGATAAAAGTCAAACTGACATTAGGTTGGCAATACAATGTAAAATTGTCAATGCTTTCAAATTTTTCATGTAGAAAAGGCTTGTGTTGCCAACATAGTTACTAAATTTTTGACTTGGGAATTATCTTTAAAAAAAAAACAGATTTTAGATATTTTTTTGTGTTTTTTGGCCCATGTGTGGCCGCCACGCCATCTTGAATGTCACCTGGTTTGAATTGACCTTTTCAATTTAAAAGCATCTCTCTCTGGCGTCAAACTGTCAGACGCCAAAAGAGTATGAAAACAACGGTTGACAGCCGCTGACAGTGGTTTGTTGACAAGATTTTTGTACATGTGGAAACTGGAAACTATTATTTCCTCGGTTTTTTCAAAGTTTTTTCCTAACAATGGTGATTGTGTAGTGTGCCTTTTTGTGAAAATAATTTCTATTTACCGGCGGACGTGTCTCTCCATAAGTTTCCATCAAATTCTACATTAATTTGTCAAATTTTGAATACATAAAATCAGAAAGAATACTCGCAAAAAAAAGGGAAATCCACGGCCTATCAAATATACAAAGTAATCCACGTTCAAGTTTAGTTTGCGGGAGCTGTTATCTTCCAAAATAATCCACCGCTTTCTCCATAGCGAAGTTCTGCAAATGAAGTAGTGACTTTTCCCACATTTTCTTTCAAAACACCCAATACATACTGGCATTGACAAGCAAGCAAATGTTGGCGGGAAAATGATTGTTTTCATACTTTATTGTCCATCTCTTTTAATTGAAAACGTTAATTGCCTAATAGATAAGCAAGAAATGAACATATTAAATGACATTCATGTAAATAGACAAATTTTGAAGATGAACGCAAAGTAAGTATACGCATAGATTGGATGTGTCATATAAATACAAGTAGAACTCATCAAGCAATACTTTATTTTTCCAAAATCACATACACAGTAATCATCAAACTCAATAAAAGTGTGCCGAGGTGAGTTTCTACAGCAAGTCCAGTAGCTGCCGAGGGCTCGGTAGTTGTCGGCAAACTGCTGGCGGTTCCATTTGCGACGTCACCCATCATGAAATCCACAATATAGTCAAACATCGATTCAATTGGAGTATAACTGAGTTCCCCATGTAATCTAGACTTCGTACAATCGTTATTCACTATACCGACTAGGACGTCGCCACACATTATCGGCCCTCCCCGTGGAGCTCTACAATCGGAAAATCCACTTCCATCTACTGTTTCATCGACAAAACATCTCAATCCCACTTCTCCACCTTTTCCTTCTGATAGTTTTTCCAAACCAATGGTGGTTAAACCCTTTTTGCAATGGAGTTTCGTGCCCGGTGGCCGTGCCTTCGGCCAATCTGAGGGCCATAATGATGAACGGAGTCGGTTTTTGGGTATAGGTATTTTGGCTGGGCGGAGGTTTGGGATAATAGTGAAGATGTCTTGGTGTAACCTGAAGAGACCGATCGGATTATCTCCTTTTTTAAAGTTTATCGTCCCAATTGTGAGATTGAAAAGGTTTGTAGTAGTGAATTTTTTGGTATTGTCTATAGTGTTATAAGTTCTATTGATAAAATAATTGGTTTCATTTCTATTATAAGTGGTTATAGTAATATTCGTATTGTTTACTTTCGTCACATGATATTCGACTCCCATTATAGTGGTATTAGAGGTGGACGGCATTTGAGGTGGTAGTGGCGGCGGTGTTATCACTATTACTTCACTTTCATCGTTATTTTTGCTTCCCGCTACAATACCTGCAATTAACGAACCAACCGCACCAACAATAACTGATCCAATTAGTCTCGCACTTTTTTTTCCTGGGGACTTTTCCATCAACAGCAGGACATGGTCATCAGGACAACGCTTTCCTTCGTGTAATAATTGAACATTACTTTCCTGGCAACATAAAAATACTACAATGAGTGATAATAGACACTTCCAGCACACGGTACGCATTTTAAAATTCTCACAAAACAAAAGTCTTTCGTCAATCGTCACCACAGATCGTCATGGAACGAACGTTGACAAAACAAAACAGATAGCAACGGAAACCCACACACTCTATCAAAAGAAACACATAAAATCTGTTTTTTTTTTAAAGATAAAAGTCAAAGTGACATTAGGCCTGTTCGCACAGCAATCACAAACCAGTCAGAGCGAATTTCATTGGTTGAAAATAATCAGAAACAGTCAGAAAACTAGTTTCAATCAATGAGATACATTCTGACTGGTTTGTGATTTCTCTGCGAACAGACCTATTATGTTGGCAATACAATGTAAAATAGACCTATCTATTTTTACCTGGTATGCGCGCGCAACACGAGGCAATGTCTTTTTATTGGCTAGCTAATACAGGTGTGAGGTGATCGTTTTGCACGCTGAGCATCTCTTTTTCCTTGTTTATTGCACGTGATCTGACAAGAATAAATCTAAAGTTGATATTCAATTTGACAAGTGTCATTCAAAAGTTGTTTGACATTTTCATTGACAAATACGTTGCACCACTGTACGTTGCACAACACGCGTTTTTTCTCCTTTTCTTTTTATCCTGCACAAATAAGAAGGGCGGATTTTTTGTTCGGATTGCTATACGTAAAATCTGTTTTTTTTAAAGATAATAGACCTATCTATTTTTACCTGTATGCGCGCGCAGCACGAGGCAATGCATTTTCATTGGCTAACTAGTACAGGTGTGAAGTAATCCTTTTGCACGCTGGGCATCTCCTTGTCCTTGTTCATTGCCCGTGGTCTGACAGGGAAAAAATTATGCTTGATATTCAATTTGACATAGCTTGACAAGTGATCGATTCTCAATTGTTTGTGTTTTTGATTGACAAATACGTTGCATGTCACGCGGTTTTTTTCCTTCCTTTTTTATCCCGTGCAAATAATAAGAACGGATTGCTATACGTAAGTCTAACATAATTTGGTACGTTTTGCCTCGTCTTGCGCAATAAGCGTTCTGCGTCTTTTTCTATCTAATAGAGTTTTCGTATTATAACCTCTTTGTCTGGTAAAATAGATAGGTCTATTCCCTAAGTCAAAAATTTAGTAACTATGTTGGCAACACGAGCCTTTTCTACATGAAAAATTTGATAGCATTGACAATTTTACATTGTATTGCCAACCTAATGTCAGTTTGATTTTTATCTTTAAAAAAAAAAACGCACTTTTTGTCTAACATAATTTGGTACGTTTTGCTTCGTCTTGCGCAATGAGCGTTCTGTGTCTTTTCTTATTTATTGACGTTTTCGTATTATTACCTCTTTGTCTGGTAAAATAGATAGGTCTATTCTCGCTTTCAAATTTTTATGTAGAAAAGGCTCGTGTTGCCAACATAGTTACTAAATTTTTGACTTGGGGAATTATCTTTAAAAAAAAAACATACTTTAAGGCTCATCCTCAATCAATGGCATGTAATATTGACAGTTGAGTTGAAGAGGGCGCTTCTGTACTTAGATCTCTTTAAATTTTGGCGCGTAAAAATTCGATTGTAATTCTAACCTCAAAACTGAAGTTTGATGTGTGGTTTCAAGACCAGCTGACGCTGACACTTTTAAAAATATTCTCTAAGGGCCACTGAACGCTTTAGAAGATATTTTAACTTATCCATTGTCCATTGTTCTTATTTAGTCATCTTTCTTTCTACTCAATTTAATCAGTTTTAAACTATTGACATTTACCGCCAAAATTTAAAACACTCCAAGTCCACTCGCGCCCTCTACAAAATTTTGAGGAACTTTACTGGATATTTGCTGCCATTTAGTAGTGAAGTGGCACTTCGGCACGCAAGCTAGGAAAATGTTGTTTAACGTTGGCATACTCAATTCAATTTCGTGCTGGCATGCACGTCGACTCCGAAGTGAAAGTTGCAAGCTGCCAGCTTTTTCGATGCGTGCCGACTTATGTCATGCGCAGTACGTTAAAAAATAATTTAGGTTATCCTTGCGTTCGGTATTTTGCTCAAAGAGCGGAGCGGAGCCGTAATCACGTAATCAGCGAGCGCACAGAGCAGTTAAACGCTGTATCAGAGGGCTCGAAATTTTATTAAACGAACGTGAATGAGCCTGAACCGAGTACACTTTTTGAATAAACGAACGGTAAATTCATGCTCAGAGAACTCAGATCAAAATACCGAATGCACGGTATGTGACCGTACTACACGCAGAGCAGACTGAAAATTGACAGCATTGAGGATGGGTATAAATTTTCCAGCACGTGTGCCAAAGTGTCACTTCGCTACCAGATTGATTGAGGATGTAGCTTTAGGGGGTTTTCAAGCGATTGACCAGTCGCTAACTTTGACAGATGATGAGCAAGGTATTTTACGTCATTCAAGACCAATTGGTCAACCAATAACGCTTGAATCATTGTTTATCTGTCAAGTACCGTGTAACCGACCGGTCAAACGCTTGAAATCCTCTATAGAAGCTGGGTTCGGCTATTCAGCGCGGGGTTGGAGTGGAGTGAACAGAGCTAATGGCTATGTTCCGATATCAACTGCCAGTACTGGATTTACTGTGCTGATTTTACTGTCATTTGCCGTTCCGATTTCAACAGCGTACTTTTGTGGTCATTTAGTACTGAATCGACGGAATCCAGTGTAATATCGGAACGGCGTCCAGTAAATTCAGTACTGACAGTTGATATCGGAACATAGGCAATGTAGTCGCCCCTAATACGGTAAAAAGCAATACCCGAACCTAAACCCGAACGGCTGGAGTGCGAATGGAGTCACTCGGAGTGCACGGAGTGAGCAAGCCGAACCCACCTAGGATACGGTTTTAAGGCGTGTACAGACGAGTGCATTCGGCAAGAAAGAGCAAGCCGAGCAGCCGAGCACGCTAGACTCCAAAATTGAGCCGTACGATTGGGAGCTACGCTGCTGGCAGGTGGGGTGTTGTCTCTCCCATAAAAAAGGTTTTTCTTACGAGCGTGAGCGAATTAGTACTTTTTTCTACGACTGTTTTGGAATATGAACATTTTGACATCATTCTTAACTACGGTATAATCACATTCCCACACTAGTGCGGGAATATTCATACCATCACTAGTGATGGAATGACGACTGCTAGCGACATCTATGGAATTCAAAATAAAGTCAGCTCGTATAATTTGGCAAGTGGTAACTTGGTAGAGACGAAAGGGGGAAGAAAAGTGGGGCGTAACTTAAGAATATTCACTGACACCTCAACTGACACCGCCTGATGACAACCATGTCTTTGGGTTCAGTGGCACCGAAAACACCAAGGAAATAAACCAAAAAATTATTAGGGAAAAAATTCTTGAGTTTCACGAATAACCACGCCACTGGTGCTGTCGTTCAGGCACTAACCAATAGAATCATGCCTCTGAATAATCACGCCTCTCCGCTTCCTTCATTTCGTAATGTTGCCGGATTTTTTCCTATTTCAAAATACTACACGGCCCATATTGCAAAAAAAAAATATGTCACCAACTTGTTTATTATTATTTCTGTCAAGTTTGGCATTGCAGCAAATTCTTTTTGAGTTCGCCGTTTGGCTAGCCAGACTATATAGCCGGCGATATCTATGATCTTCAAAAACGAAGTCGGAAGAGGTATTACAGACTTTCATTTGTTTAGCTTCAACAAAGCTTGTAGGGACTGCTAATCGGCAAAAAATATGCTACAAATATGGAATTAACAAAAAAGTTAATTAGGCGCTCTAAAGTACTGTTTGTTAGCTTATATTTCTTATTTAACAAAATGTTCGAGCTGTTGGAGCTTGTAGATCAAAGGCAAATGAAAACGCTTATAGCATTTGTCGATTCAAGTGTCAAATTATAATAGGTCTATTTCTGCAGAAATCCCAAACCAGTCAGTCAGAGTGAATACAGTCGTAGAAAAAGTATAGTCTAAGCCTAGAATTACAGAAGCTCTGCAACACCAAGATACAAATGCAGGACCTGCAAGTCTGAGTCTGACTTTCCGTATTACAGAAGCAGAATGCAGTGGCGCACCCAGGTTTTTCATTTGGGGGGGGGGGGGGTTCATAATGATCAAGGTTCATCGCAGACAGGCGCTGCCGTAGGCCGGCCGCCATAAGAAGAATTTTTTTTCGGGTGTCACACCCAAAAACGTGTATTTTGAGCCTTCGAAATAGCTATTTATACAATAAGTTACGAAATGAGCGTCTTTTAGGCACGCGACGTGAAAATTGTCCAACGAGGCAAAGCCGAGTTGGACAACACGTCGAGTGACTAAAAGACATCGTTTCGTAACGTATTGTATACAAGATTTTTTCTACTGGCATTTTATAATAAAAAAACACAATTTTATTTCATGTGAATAAGTCGATTACACCCAAAATCTTTGTTACCTGCTTTTACTTGACACCTGACACTTTTCATGCGATTTTCTTTTCAAAATTCGACATCAATAATTAAAATCCTAGAAAGTAGGTAATAACACAAACTTCTGTTTTGAGTAACCCAAACGTTCAATTCAGTAATTCCATTTTCAATATTCATAATAAATACAAAACAAAATTCAAATATGTGTTTAGTGTGTTTTTTATTTCTGAATAATGAATGACACTTTTAGGCACTAGTGCTTAAAAATTACTTTTACGCACTCATAAGTCACTTTTACGCATTCAAAAGTCACTTTTACGCACTGAGTGCCTAAAAGTAACTTTCACGCACTCAGTGCCTAAAAGAATGTCGTTTCAAAACTGAAATGACAATCGAAAAGTTGCTATTATGAAACGTCAGTAGAAAAAATAACTTTTTGTAAGTGATTTCCATCAAAAAACAATTAAAACGAACGCTCGCAGCAAAATAGCTGCGCGAAAAAAAGCTATTGTCACCGCCAATGTTTTCATAATCATGTGTATTTAAAAGAAAGGGAGTTTCATACATGAGGTGAGTTCGGCTCGCTCACTCCGCGCACTCCGAGTGACTCCGTTCGCACTCCAGCCGTTCGGGTTAAGGTT